TATAAAAAATTGATACCTAGATAGAATTACTTACATAGCTTGATCTTGCTTTCAAAAGCTCTTCACCAAGCTCTGATACCATTACAAACAAAAATGGAAAGGAGTTTTTTACTATTTTTATTATGAAATTATGGTGGAATTATGGAATTATGATAGAGAAGTTAGAAAAAGTGCATTGGAGACAAAGATGGAGAGAGTATGGTAAGTCAGTTCATGCACTCACCAGGGGCAGAGCATTTTGAGGCCGTTTATAAGATCTTAAGATATTTGAAAGGAACTCCAGGGAGAGGCTTACTGTTCAAGAAACATGGACATCTTCAAGTTGAAGTATACACAGATGCAGACTGGGCAAGAAGTGTTACAGACAGGAGATCAGCATCCGGATACTGCTCCTTTGTAGGTGGGAACCTGTTACATGGCGGAGTAAAAAACAGAATGTGGTAGCTAGAAGTAGTGCAGAAGCAGAGTTCAGAGCTGTTGCCCATGGAATCTGTGAAGTAATGTGGATTAAAAGAATTCTTGAAGAATTAAAGCTTTCTCACCCGACACCTATGAAGGTCTATTGTGACAACAAAGCAGCTATATCTATAGCTCATAATCCAGTTCTACATGATCGCACAAAACATATAGAAGTGGATAAACATTTTATCAAGGAGAAAATCAATGCTGGCATAATCTGTATGACCTACCTTCCAACTGGTGAACAATTAGCTGATGTGCTAACGAAGGGACTACACAAGAAGCAATTTGATAAGCTGACTAGCAAGCTGGCTATGGAAGATATCTTCAAACCAGCTTGAGGGGGAGTGTTGGAAATTTGTGTTAATGTATATAATAAGATGGTGGCATGTATATAATATGATAGTGGTGTTGGTGAAGGATAGTGGCATGTATAGAATATGATTGTGGTGTTGGTGGTAGATAGTGGCATGTATATAATATGATAGTGGTAGATAGTGGTAATATATAATATGTAAGTGGCATATAATGGGTTATAATGATGTTTGTAATATCTCCTATATAAGGAGTGTCATTTGGTCTTGTAAAATAAGAAGTTTTGAATATAACAGAAATATATTCCTTCTTCCTCATATTTTCGGAGTTCTTCTTCCTCATATTTTCTAAGTAAACATATTTCCCTGCTTCCGTTCTTGGTGGATTTTATCTTATGGCATAAGAAAGTTGTGGTAACTTCTCAGTGTAGTAATAATTATCTTGGACAATTAATGTGATGTTGACAAATAAAGTTCTAATAATGGCAAACATACAAGGGAAGTGGGAGTTCTTATGAAGGGATTCCTTCTAAACATGCAGGGAGGAAAGTATTGCATCTTTGCGAGCACTAGATTCCTACTTAAAAGAGAAGCTTATTACATGGCTTAGTCCTGCTTGTCTGGAGCTTCATCAAATTACATGGGATGATCCTGCTTCTTTGTTGGAAAAAATTGTGGCATTTGAAGTAAGTTTCTCCTTCCTGTTTGATTACCGTTTTAACATGTGCATGATTTGGTTTTTATGTAATTTCAAAATCATCTTGTGCATAGGCTGTGCATCCAATCAGCAATCTTATAGATCTTAAAAGAAGGTTGGGAGTTGGCCGTCGTTGTTTTGGATATTTACATTCAGCAATACCTGGTTAGCATTCCTTTTTCAACTGCTGGGGAGTATGGTAGTCAATGTAGCTATTATTGCTGGCCTCTATGCCATATTTTAAAGTGTCTTATTGTCCATTCTACCTCAGTTTTTTCAATTTGTCTTAATATATCTCAAAGAGATTGATAATCCAAATCACAACCTTATACTGAATTGTGGGCTTCATTGAAACATATGGTCAAATAACGAAGAATCTATTCACTAAATTTTGATAATACTTTGTTAACCAGATTCAGAAGTTTGGATTATCACATGTGAGTTGTGCATTGGTCATAGCAGAGATGAACATCGCATAGTGAAGATTGAACATGTTTGCAACTATGTCAAAGCTTCTTTTAGTGGGCAGGAGCACAAAAAGATCATATTGTGATCCTAAATCATTAACTGAAACCAAAGTTTGATCAAATGTTGATGTTAGGTTTATCATACTTAGCAGTGTAAATGTTATTGAATATGCAAATGTAGGGAAGATTAAACCTGTTTGTAACTATGTTGAGATCCTAAATCATTGACTGAAACCACCTTGTCCTCGCATAGTGTAATACCTAGAGTGATAGGTGTCCATAGGTGGAAAAATTCTGCTTGCGGGCTGGATGTTTTTCAGTTTACAGAGATTTGATCAAATGTTAATGGTAGTCTTATCGTATTTGGTAGTGTGATTGTTGTTGAATATGCAAACATACATTTTCGTGGGGTTGGAATTCCTTTTTGAAGAAATATGTCTCAATTGTCCAGTCTTCCTTGCTGCATGTTTCCAACTAGTTCATTGGGTCTGTATTATTATTTTTCTTTTTCAGGTGAACCACTAATCTTTATTGAAGTTGCACTTATGAAGGATGTGGCTCAGACAATACAGGTTAAAACATTTTATCATTTTAAATTTCAGGGTTAACTTATATGCTAACAAATACTCTTACACAATATCAGGAAGTTTTGTGGGATGATCCCCCAATACCTGAATGTGAGGCAACTTGTGCGTTGTTTTACTCTATATCATCAACTCAGGTAAGGTTGGCTATTGGCATGTCGTTGGATAGTAAAAATCAAACAATAAACTTTTTATTTATTTATTTATAGCAATTTGCTTTCATGTGCCTAATTTGCGTAACTTTTTTACTTTTTGCAGCCTGGCTTGAAAGGTGTCAACCTTGGAAAGTTCCTTATTAAACGTGTGATTGATGTGGTTAAAAAAGAGATGCCAAATATTTCTGTAAGTGTTTCTATATTTATTTTATTTTTAATTAGCCACACTAACATTTAAATTAAGTCTTTGCTATGAAAAGGAGGTTTAAACTGTTCTATTATTTATTATAATCAATTCTTGCCAATATTGGATTTCTCAGCCTGGTGGAAGCTATGAGTGTGTTTGGTTTGTGTTTTGAGATAAATTTTTTAAAAAAAATTTGGAGAGAGAGTTTTGAAACTTGTTTAGCTTGTTTGGTTATATATTTTGAAAATAGTTTTGGAGTTTGGGATAATTTGACATTTTGTTGTAGTTGGGTAGATGTGTGTGAGAGAAAAAGTGATTGAGAAGGAGAGAGGAGAGAGAAAAAGTGATTGATTGATGTGTAAGAGAGAGGGAGAGAATGATTTTGGAAAAAAATTTAAAAAATATCTAACCAAACAAAATTTTGTTAACTTTTTTAAAAAATTGTGTTTTGAGAGTTAAACCAAACAAGGCCTATATTTCCCAGAACTATGAGCATTGTTTCCAAGGGAGATGCTACTACTATGTACACCCCTTAAAGGTTGCATATGGTATGTCCTTCATAACACCGCTACAAAAATTTGTAACATAAACCACAAAATGGCATAACTTTTCTCACCACAAAAATTAGCACACCAGACCTTTGTAACTTTCACCACAAACCTTTGTAACTTTCACTTTGTACATCATAAATTCGCCATTTGTAACTTTTACCACAAATTGGAATAACACACCACAAACCTTTGTAACTTTCACCACAAAAAAATGTAACTTTCTTACGATGCGTCCCTTTTAGGGACACATTATAGAGTTTCCCTATTTGCAATGAATCTCAAATTTCTAGTGATGTCTGAATATGAAGTATTAGCTCTTTGTCTCATGACTCTTATTCTAATTCAAAGCAATCAACGATTTAGTGTCATGGTCTTTCAAGAAACAATTTAGTGGAATTTTTTTTTGGCTGCTTTCCAATTGTATGTTGCCCTTGGAATAGCTGTCCTTATTCTAATTCAAAGCAATCAACAATTTAGTGTCATGGTTTTTCAAGAAACAATTTAGTGGAATTTTTTTTGGTGCTTTCCATTGTATGTTGCCCTTGGAATAGCTGTCCTTTCCCTTACGGAAATTTCCCATGTTACTGTTTTATTGAAAGGATAGCAATCTGCAACATTGCTTCCAGTTCCAACATATGCTGCCTTGTTAAGCAAACAATTCTATGTAAAAATGATACATCACATATGTGATATGTAAAGCAGCACAATTTATAAGTAGCTTCATACTATCATTGGAAAATTTTGATACGATATTGTTTAAATTTCCGTCTGTATAATTTATGTATGTATATATGGCCAAAAGGACTGCTAACAGCAGGTCAGCAAAATTTGTCAGGTTATAATGGTTTAGTTATCATTTCTGTTGTTTCTTTTGGCATTTCTTTCTGACAGCTTGTAATTTTTTTTTTTTTTCACTCAAGACATTTGCAACACTCAGCCCTATCCCGGGGTACATGCAATGGCTTCTCTCTAAGTTGGCCTCAGCAGAGAGATCTGATTCCACCTTCAGGGAGAACATACTTGAACCAGAAGAGGAAAGAGCACTTTTGGAAGCATCTCTGTAAGATTTATTTTTATGCATCTTTACCATGTTAATTAATGAGATAGTAGCTCTATTATCTAAGAATTAGCTCAGAATTGTCATCTTGATCTATTCAAATTTTCGAATTGAATATGGAAGTTCTCATCACTTTGCCTATCTATCCTTCAAAGCTCATCAAATTTGAAGTTGAAAAGATCTGTTGCCTCAACTAGTCATAATCTCCAAGCGAAAACCCATTGCTGCCATACAATTGGACATCTTTGACTGGGGTAAAATTAAATAAATAAGATATTCTGGATCTGTATATGGGTTACTGGGAGTGGGAGTTTCATATGGCAATTAATGTTGATAAACAAGTTTAGAAGAAAATAACAACTGTTTATTGAGCATAGAAAATAAAGGATACAAAGTGAGATATATATATCTAAGCTAAACAAACCCTAAAAGCGCCAAAGACTAAACTACCCTTAATAGTAAATAATAATATCAAATATATATATGCTTAACAATATTAACAACTTTCCAAAGAAATAATACCAAACATAACATAATATGCCTCATCTTTCAAATATAACCATATTTCATGCGAAGTTACTCAAATAACTAATTTTTCCCAAATTTTCTACCTATAACGGTTTTCACAACTTTTCCAAAGTTAACTAATTAACATGATTTTTACATAAAAAATTATGAAATATATCCAAAAGTACACTTTTTAAGGTTAGGAGTTCAAAGGTCCACATTTATGAGACTTGGTGAAAAAGTCAGCCAACTGCATAGTAGATGGCACAAACGATAAGGACAAAGTACGAAGCTGAAGATGATGAGGCACAAAATGACAATCAATCTCAATATGCTTGATCATCTCATGAAAGACAGAGTTATGAGCAATCTGGATGGTACTATGATTATCACAATATATAGGAGTAGAAGCAGAAAGTGAAATGCCAAAATGAACTAGTAATCATCGCAACCTAACAATTTTAGCAGTAGTAGTAGCCATAGCACGATAGATAAGGGAAGTACCCAAAAACACAAACACCTGCAGTGGACTTACGATCCATAGCATCACTAGCCCAATCAGCATCAGTATAGGGACGAAGATCTAATGACGAGGTAAAGGAGAAAAATAAACTCTGATGCGGAGACCCACGGAGTTACCACAAAATACAAAGAACTGCAGCCCAATGAACCGTAGTAGGAGATGTAACAAATTGATTAACAATATGGACAACATAGGCAATATTAGGTCGAGTAATAACAAAATAGACAAGGTTGCCAACAAGAACACAATACGAAATAGGATCAGACAGAGGAATCCCATCAGTTGAAGTATAATGCACATTAAGCACAAGTGAAGTGTTAACAGTGTGAGTATCAGTCAACATAGCAAGCTGAATGACCTCCAAGGCATATTTGGACTAAGAGAGAAGATAGCCTTTAGGAGAAGAAGCTACCTCAATCCCTAAGAAATACCGAAGAGGACTAAGATCCTTCATCTCAAAATGATGACTAAGGTGACCTTTGAGAGCATAAATGCCATCAAGATCATCACTAGTGATAATCATGTCATCAACATACAAGAGAAGAATAATCTGACCAACAGAGGTAAAGCAAAGAAAGAGAGCTGAATCATGATCACTAGTGTGAAAACCTAAAGTAGATACAACAGTAGCAAATTTCTCGAACCAAGCACAAGGTGCCTGTTTGAGGCCATATAACGCTTTATGCAGTTTACATATAGAGCCATAAGGATGGGGAAGCCTAGGAGGAGGAGCCATATAGATCTTTTTAGTCAGATCACCATTCAAGAAAACATTCTTGACATCCATTTGGGAAAGGGACCAGTGGCGAATAGCCATAACAGCAATCAAAGTTTGAAGAGTGGTTATCTTGGCAACATGAGCAAATGTCTCCTCATAATCGATTCCATATTCCTGAGAAAACCCTTCAGCAACTAAACGGGCCATATACCGCTCAATGGAACCATCAGCCTTGGTTTTAATTTTAAAAACCCAGTGACAACCCACAACATGCTGACTAGAAGGAAAAAGAACAAGATCCTAAGTGCCAGTAACATGGAATACAGAAAGCTCCTCATTCATAGCCTGCTGCTAAAGAGGATTAGAAACAGCCTTCTTATAGGAGGTAGGCTCAGAAATAGAGTGACTAGAAGCCAAAAAAGAATAGAATTTAGAAGAATAACAAGAATAAGAGACACCAAACTGATCAGGACACTTACGCTTTCTTTGAGGATAGCGAGAATCAGCAGGAGCCTCATCACAAGCAGTCGATGGGTCCTCAATGGTAGGAAGGAGAGTAGTGGTACCTGTAGATATGTCGCGCTTTGTCCAAGGAATGCAAGTATGAATTAGAGGAAGAGGAGGAGGAGAAGGAACATTAGGAGAGAACGGAGGAGAGGAAGACGGAGAGGGAAGATCAGAAGGAGAGAGGCTACGGATATACGAATCAAAAGAAATATCGTTAGAAAAGGGATCAAGATAAATAAGATCAAACCGAGAAACAGAAGCCGATGTAGATGGGATGGAAAAGAAGGGAATATGTTCTAAGAAAGACAACATAACGAGAAACATAAAGACCCCAAGAAGAAGGATCATAGTAGCAGTAACCCTTTTACAAGGAAAAAAATAGAGAAACTCTCACTCTTGTTCTCTCTCCATACAAATACAATATAGCCTTTGTACTGTGAGTTGTGTGGGTAGAGCTCTAGTAGTGTTACTCCGTCACTTGTAGAGTGAAGAAGAAGATTTTAAGAGTTCGTGATTCATCAATCAATCTAGATTTGTCGTGTGATTTGTTTACCTGAAAGGTATGCCTGAATCCATATTCTTCCTTGGTTTTAATTTTAAAAACCCAGTGACAACCCACAACATGCTGACTAGAAGGAAAAAGAACAAGATCCTAAGTGCCAGTAACATGGAATACAGAAAGCTCCTCATTCATAGCCTGCTGCTAAAGAGGATTAGAAACAGCCTTCTTATAGGAGGTAGGCTCAGAAATAGAGTGACTAGAAGCCAAAAAAGAATAGAATTTAGAAGAATCACAAGAATAAGAGACACCAAACTGATCAGGACACTTACGCTTTCTTTGAGGATAGCGAGAATCAGCAGGAGCCTCATCACAAGCAGTCGATGGGTCCTCAATGGTAGGAAGGAGAGTAGTGGTACCTGTAGATATGTTGCGCTTTGTCCAACGAATGAAAGTATGAATTAGAGGAAGAGGAGGAGGAGAAGGAACATTAGGAGAGAACGGAGGAGAGGAAGACGGAGAGGGAAGATCAGAAGGAGAGAGGCTACGGATATACGAATCAAAAGAAATATCGTTAGAAAAGGGATCAAGATAAATAAGATCAAACCGAGAAACAGAAGCCGATGTAGATGGGATGGAAAAGAAGGGAATATGTTCTAAGAAAGACAACATAACGAGAAACATAAAGACCCCAAGAAGAAGGATCATAGTAGCAGTAACCCTTTTACAAGGAAAAAAATAGAGAAACTCTCACTCTTGTTCTCTCTCCATACAAATACAATATAGCCTTTGTACTGTGAGTTGTGTGGGTAGAGCTCTAGTAGTGTTACTCCGTCACTTGTAGAGTGAAGAAGAAGATTTTAAGAGTTCGTGATTCATCAATCAATCTAGATTTGTCGTGTGATTTGTTTACCTGAAAGGTATGCCTGAATCCATATTCTTTTGCTGCGTGAAAAGTTAACTAGATGGTGGCCCTCGCCGGAGAGCAGGGTGGTGGCCCTCGCCGAAGAATTCTATCCTTAGGGGGTCATTTTTTTTGAACTCGAAGAGATTGAGGAGGATCGGATTGGGCTACGTTGGTTGTCCATTGTGGAGCGCGGGCAAGGTCTTCGGAGGGCACTCATCCTGGTGGGTTTTGAAGTGGTTTGGTTTGTTGCGAAGCTCCGTAAGGCGTCCTGTGATGTTGGCCTTTTGGCCTATCTAGGAAGACTTATTGGGGGATGTAGGACAGTGGCAATCTGGGTTTGAGGGGAGGAGAATGGTGGTTCGTCGGTGCAAATTGTGGCCACAATAGGGAGCAAGCAGGAGTAGATTTTCATTCCAGATTCCAGGTTTGGGGATGGTTGGGAGGGGCTTGCCCTGGTTATTGAGGGCTTTTGCCTTTGGGGATGGGTGGGCTAAGGCTAAAAAGGTGTTGAAGCGTGCGGTGGTACCAGAGGAAGTGCCCCGTGTGTGGCTGGTCGATTGTCTGTCCAATGAGCCTGATGATGTGGTGGTTACAAGTGCTGGAGAGGGGGTTTGGCTTCGGTTGCTTGATAGGGCCTTGGTGGGCAGGGTGGGTGAGGAAGGTGAAAAGGGTTTAGGGATTTCTGCTGTTACCGACTGGGTGCATTGTTGGTGGAGAGCATCAGGGAAGGTAGAGGTGTCGAGCGTTGGAGGCCAATATTTCTTGTTCGTTTTCCCCTCGCGGCGAGCTGCAGCGTCGGTGTTGCGACAAGAGTGGACTTTTGATGGGCGTGATCTTTTCTTGGACTGGTGGTCACCTACTGCTTGCTGCGGCCAACGCAAGTCGCCACTGTTGGCAAATGGTCACTGGATTCAAGTCCTGGGCTTACCAATTCATCTTCATGGAGTTTCAACGTATCGAGCCATTGGGAACAAGTGTGGTGGCTTTTTAGCGGTGGATGAGACGATGGATCTCCTGGATTGTGTTTGTTTGAAGGTTTGAGGGTTGTCCGAAGGGCTTCCGACACGAATTTCAGTCTGGTGGGGCTCTTGGCGTTTTTCTTTGCCTGTTTGGTCGGAGATAGGGCCGGAGGTGGAATTTGCTTCCCAGATGACGGCGCCGTGGCGTGGGAGTGCGATCGAAAAGGAAGGTGCAGATTTGGCGCAGTGTGATCGACGAATATGGCGGAGAACAGGGGATCGTCCAACTGTTCCGAGATTTGGGGGCACAAAAGGGGGTAGTCCACGTACGGTGTATCTGGGGCAACGTATAACTTATGTAATACAGCCCTAAGCTAGTCAAA